GAACCATCCCATTTTTTCCATGTGTCACAAGTCACCTGGTTAATTAATGATTGTTTTCAATTGGATTGACTGTTTTAAGTCAAACTTTGATGAATGCTGGCACAAAACAAATTATTAAATAGAAAACTACAGTAAAACATTGTTATGTTGTAAATCGAAAAGAAGGATGAGTGGTGCCAGAGAGCAATTCACCATACGCGAACAGAACAATTTGTTACTGTTCTGCTTAGTGGTAGACTTTCCCTTTAAGTCATGTGCATATAAATAGTTTAAAAGCAAAATTGTAATTCTATGTAGTGATAAATAAGCTTACAATAACAGAACATCAAATGAATATTCAAAATATAAATGAAATGTTTTCTTTTAAGTGTCTGTAGTTTGTAACTGCGTATGCCTGGTTTAAAGTCTCTGGATGGAAACTCTCTGTCCTCAAATCTGGGTCGATCGCACGTCCAGATCCTAGTGGTGAAGACCACATTCTGTTTGTTTACATCTACAAATGTAGTAATTTATTAAGTAAAAGTCAAGACTTCGACTACTGTAGTAAAAGCAGAATTGAGGACGCTAAGTCCAGCTTGTTTATAAACAAAGCTACCTATAATGAAAAGGGTTGAGGTTAACTAAATGGGGAGACATTACTGGAAATTATATGTCTGGTCTGCTTATGTTCAGAGGGAGGAGAATTGTGAAGTTCTGTGTATCTGCTTCTACTGCCTGAAGTCTTAGAGCAGAGTAACACTGAATCAGTAGAAAAAAAAGCAGCTTGTATTTGGTGTTCAGTAAGAATAATTGCTTGCAAATATTTTTTTAAATATATTTTATTTAACTGCTAAGATTCTGTTAACAGAGCCTGAACTCACGTTCTGCTGTCAAATTAAGAAGATGGCGAATGTAGGTTAAAAACAATGCAATTTCTACAAGAGGAAAAGACAAAAAATTTGGACTTGTTGCATTAATTCACAGTCCTGCATTGAGATTTAAACTAAAACCAGTACATAAAGGTAAAACTGGTGTAGGAATGATTTTAGTAAGCAGGGACACAGCTACTGCATGGAGTTGTGACAAATACTGCTTTCCATTCAAAACAGAAACAATCCTAACCTGGTGTCCTTTGCAGCCCTTCAGTGCAGTGGTTGTAAGAGCACCTGGGCTACAAGAGCCCGTTTCTCCAGGTTAAGTTCCTCAGTGTTTCCAGAGGGATTCCCCCCTTACAGAAGTGCAGCTTGCTTTTTTGAGTAACTGGCAGCATCTCCTCAAACTCGAGTCCTGTTCATTGAAAGAACAATTTCAGCTCTGGCAGGGAAAAATGGGTTCTCACTACCCTCAGGTTTGAGCATAATAAATACCCAAGGCCAGATCTTCACTGCAGTGGTGGGCAGGTGTGAAACTGGCACAAATTCAGCACCTGTGAGCTGCGTTGCAGCTGCCAGGAGTGTTGGCTGCTGCTGGGCTGCCCTTGCCATCCCCAAGCACAGGGGAATAGCACATGGGGACCATCCTGGGCTGGCATTCTTGCAGCTGTGCAATGCCCCAGAAGTGAGAAGAGCTATTTGACAGCTTGGAAATGGGGATGTGCTGACTGGAAGTATGGGTCTGTTGTGCCAGTGACTGCAATTTGCGAATAAGCAGTCTGTCTTCAGATACCATATAGCATGTCAGGCGCAGAGACGGACAGAAAATGGGGGTTTACCTTCAGCCTTCCCAGTCAGCAAGCTGTTTTCTCTTGCTGGTGTAGGTTGTTAGTGTTTTATCCTTACTAAAACTGTAGGGTATATATTTGTGAATTGACTGTATGTTTTTAAGGGAACAGCGGGACCTGCTGGAGGAGGGAGGTCCCTGAGGCTGGGGAATGGCTGTGACAGCCCTGTTTCAGGCTGGCACAGAGGCTGGGCAGTCTGGCAGGGTTGGCATCAGCACAGGCAGGGCTCCAGCTGCCCTCACCCTCTAGGCAGAGGAAGGGAGATTGGTTATCCTGCCTGCAGGTCTCCAGGGGCAGACCCTCCTTGCACCTCGGCTCTGCAGGGCTGGTTCCTGGGTCAGGGAAGGCAAGTCCGAGCTTGTGAGCTCCTGTGTTACTGCCTCAGAGCAGCAAGAACATTTGGGGCTGGTGATTGTTTGTCCCATGTGCTGGCTGGGAACCTGAGCTTTAGCAGCTGTTGTACACTTTCCTGCACACACTTCTTTGGTCTTTTTGCAAGAATTTAATTAGTTAGTTCTTTAGTTACTTGAGTTAATTGTGTTTGTTAATGATTTTCAGTTTTAAAAATCCTGTATTCATCTTAATGCCTTGCTGTTGCTACGTAGGCAGTCCTTGGCCACGTGTTTGTGCATGCAAGGATTTAATTAAAACCTTAATAACTAAGTAATCTCCACATAGTCTAGGCGTCTATGAGATAGCACTGAGGGGACATTTCTTGAGTTCCTCAATTGCACACCACATTACTATCAACTAGATTTTGATATTGGATAATAATACTCTAGCTTTGCTGGTGAGGTATATATAGATTATGAGGCAGCCTGAACAGCGAGCCCAAGAGCAGTGTTCTGTTTGAGGTATTTCCTTTGATCATGCCACAGCTGAGAGACTCACATCTCCTAGAGACCAAGACTAAAGTATGTGCGTTAGGGTGCCTGAAGTGAGTTTCCTAAATAGAAGTGGCCCGATTCCTCTTTCAGAGATACTGAACACAAAAACCTTTTTTTTTAAAAGTTTTCACGCTTTGCAAAGTGGCTCTGACAGTCACTTTTCTGGGTGGCTGTCAGTATTTTGGGTATTGATTACTCCTGTATGTAGGGTGTTCAGCACTGGTGAAGCCTCTCCGCGAGTGCCTCTGTGCACTCCAGCTGCAGGGCAAAGCTCCAGCTGGGCTCCTGCTTTTGCATTCACCCCTGTGGAAATGTCCCACGGCCACGTGAGACACCAGTCACGGGTGTGCAGCCCTGTATTGTCATGTTACAGTGTTGGTGACAACTGCACGCACTAGTCCATGTCATGGCTTTGGAAAGGTGTCACCCATTGGCACTTGAGACCCAAACAGATGCTGCTGCGGACCAGTCCAGCCTTGTTTGTGTGGGCTCAGCAGGGGCTTGGGGAGTAAAAGGCAGCAATGCCGTAGGCTGCACCAGGACAGCAGAACTTCTCCGTAGGAAGGGACTATTCTTGCCCTTGCCTGGCAGCAGAGCAGTGACCTGTTTCAGAGATGGAGCAGCCCCAGCGCCCCACGCCATGCCTGCGTGTCCCGCTCTCCTGGCAGAGCGTGGCCAACGGACCTCGGCCCCACAGCTCAGCCCTCCCACACAAGGGAGAAGGGCCGGACCATGGTGGCATACAGTAAATTCCTCTCTTTTTGGCGCAGGTAACTAGAAAATAAAAAAACTGAACGAGTATCTCAGTGTAAGTGGATACGAGGCCAGGACAGCCTTGTTAGCTGCAGTATGGACATGGATGTCACTTCTTGCTGTGAGCAAAGGTATCGGTGTCTGCCCCTGCCCAGGGAGAGCTGCGTCCTCCCTCTACAGCCGTAAGGTCGCAGGCACCTGCTTTCCTATGATGGCACGTACACAACTACCCCTGCAGCCCTACATCGTGCCGCATAAGCTTACCTCATAGAAGCGGGAGCGGTCTTGCCCTCCCTGGGTTTGGAAGAAATGACTGTAACAGATGTGTTCCACATCTGACCTCTGTTTTTCTATAGCTCCTGTGCACATTTTTAATTTAAAATTCTGCTCTTTCCTATAAAAGGTAAAGAAGATGTCAAGGTCTTGCTGTTCCCATTCCAAATGAAATGGATTCATGTCCTGTTAATCAAGGAGTACAGCCACAGCATTTGTCATTTCCCTTTAAAGTAATGGGTGGTTGATACCTGTCATTTCTCAAGAAACTATATACCAGATTAAGGTGTATTTATAGAAATCTCAATTGCTGGTAACTTGGCTGAAGCCAAGTTTAGGCATACCATTAGTAATGCATAATGAAATGACCTAAGTGGAGTTAGATTTGGGAGGGGGAAGAGAAAGCTATTTGAGTTGGATAGCTTGAGGATGCTGTTTTACTATTAAAATTAAGCTTCTGACCCCTGGCTCTGAAGTGATAAAAATAAATCTTCCTATATTTCTCTTCTGCATTTAGTCTTCTATATTGGAAAAGATAAAGAATAAAATCTCCTTCTCTCCCTTGTCTTTCTCTTTTCTAGGTACAGGACCTATTTATGCTACAGACCCACTCCTATATGTGTTCCTGTTAATACTGCATAAGCTTGTACATTTATTAGTAAACCACTGACGGACTACTTCCTCCACTCCTCCTCAGCCAAACAAAAAGGAACCTATTTAAAAACAGAACAAACCCCTGACAAAAAAATACCTACAGTTTTAAAGATGGACAGAAAGAGACTGAAAGAAGCATGATAAATTCTACGTGGGGGGAAAAACATATTTTTGGGGATGCCACAGAAAGTAAACCGCATAGAATAATGCATCTAGTTTCCAGACTCTATGGTGTAAAGCCCTGCTCTATGCATGGCACTTACGATTTCTCTATTTTAATGTAATTTTTTCTTTTCTAAACCTTTCCTCTGACTCTTCATTTTGCACGAACTGTTGAGCAGTTATCTTTATGACAATATGTAAAGATGTTGGGTCAAAGCCCTTCCTAAGAAAGGAAATATTTTTAGTAGATTATTGTGTTTAGGTTTTTTGGATTTCCTTTTTCTTTTTTAATTAAATTATTTCTTTTGGAGACATTTTAATTAAAAAGGTACATCTTACCATAATTAATATTCACTGTCAATAATATTTATTTTTAAATGAAGATTGGAAACAAGGTAAGACATTTGTTTATAAGCTGTATTGTATATTGCTGAATAACAGTTGAATAAAAAGATTTTGAAATAAAGTTTTTACAGGTCTGTGTGCCTTTCCCTGTGTCCTGAAGCTCCCTGAGAAGGCTTCATGGCTATGTCTGTTCCCTACCTTGTCACAGCACAGAGAATTGAGGAAAGGTGCATCACAAACAAAATAAAATTGAAATCTGTTACTTACGACACACCCCCACGTATTGCCAAACCCCACCGCGCAATGTGCTGACAGCTAGTCACTAGCTACAGCTGCATTTTCCTGTGGTGACAGCAGTTATCTCTGGGCAGTTAAAGCAAGATCTGGTCAGATGGACAGTGTGAGAGTGTGGAACATTCAAGGTAAGTTGCTTTGGTTTTCTCCAGGCCTCTTTGAAAAAAGATGAATTAACCAGTGGAAAATAAACATGAATCAACCTGGAGTGTTGTGTTCCCCAGACCTGGTTCCAATATTTGTTTAAAATATATTCAGGTTTTTAAAATTATATAATTGTGTCACTTGTCTCACCAAGTGAGCTTTCCTCTAATGAAACAAAAGGCTTTTTTACAGTAAATACAGCAGTTACTTTTCTGTTCCAAAATGCTTGGTTTTTAAGTGAGATAATAGGATGACTTGGTAAAGAAACACGACCTTCTTTAGCTAAATTTAGTGAAGTACTTTGAAATTTCCTATGTCTGACTGTGATTCTTATCCTTTCATTTGCGTAGCATTTTAGAAAGGACCTTAATTGTGGAAGTGGTAAAGTGACAGCTACAGCGCCAGCAGGACTCTGTCGGCGGAAGCTGCGGAGCAAAAGCAGGACGTGCCGTTGCCTCACCTCGTACCTGAGTCCTCTTCTAGAAGGAGGGTAGGAAGGGATTTTCAATTTCTCAGATGGTCAGAATTTGCTTTTTCTAGGACTGCCAGTAATAGTGAGAGATTTGTGCCACTCACATCTCACTAGGTGTGAGACCAAAACACATCTGTGTTTCATACATGCTACTACGTTGTGGTAATAAAAGCCCTCTTGTACTGGGGGATCTAAAGGTGATAAAATCTTTGTAAGAATGTTCATCCCCTTAATGCCAGCTGTAGTATCCTGTGGATTGGGGAATAATCAGTCCATAATCATCCCACAAAAAGCAGAAGTGCTCTTCGGAAGGACTTGGGGAAGGTGGTTGTTGGAAGCCTTGAAGTGCATCAGAGCGTGAGACGCTGAAGAGCACAGTCCCTGGCTTCCATATGCACACAGGAGGGCGAGTCTTTTATAACCTGCAAGGAAAAGACAGGTGGAAAAAAAGATTTGCATGTCAGACCATGCCTAAATTAATACCGGCATTCATGTCTGGGAACTTGTTCAAGGACAGTTATTCAATGCAGAGGTATGTGTGGAGTCTGTAATGTCACGAGAGCTCTAATCCTTCAAGTAGTGGCTGGTCATGAAAGTGAAACCTGCCTGGGTTTGAATTGTGGGTCCTCTGGCAAGCTCATCATCATTGCTGCTTTTTCTCAAGGGCAGTAAATATTTCTCAGTGACTCATCTTCCTTCTAAGGGAGAGAACCAAAACAAATTTTTCCACAAGAGGAAGAAGAAAATCTGCCTAAATTTATCTAAATAAATAGCTGACGCTTGAAGCAGTGAACCATGTCTATCTAGGAGTAGTTATGCTTCTATTTCAACTTCAGCCGTACCTCAGCATGGTCTCTTAGTAAATAGATCATCTGCTTTGCTCTGATACTTTTGTTTCATCACTTACGGAGTACATTATGTCTTGAATTGCATACGGTGTGGTTTACAGAAAACATGGGAGGAAATACACCATCTTGCATTTGTCCTTCCCTTTGTATTGTAGCCTGTTACCTGCACAGGGATGTGGCAGCAACTGGAAGTTTCGTGTGCAGTGGCAGGAGTAGAATTATCAAGGTCTTTTAGACTTTAATCACATTAAAGGTGAAAAAATATTAAATCTGCAACTAAAAATAACTTTTTTTATCCTTTCTGAGATCAGAATTAAGTGTGCTGCAGTAGGAATAACAATTCTTATGTTCCAATTCACTATAAAACCTCAGAACTACTAAACAATAACCTGAGGATTTGATGAGAAATCTCTTCTAACAAGAGCAATAGGCATCTTTTCTTTCCAGTGAAGACCTGCACACGTGCACAGATAACTCATTCCCAGCACACAGGATAACTTCAACAAGGGAGCAGATTGCCAAGATAACCTGTCTCTACCTTTACCTTCGCTATACTTCTGCCTTCAAAAAATGTGCAGAATGAGTCCTCCACGGTTTGGGGCCTTGGTTTCCACATTCGGGTAAGCTTTTTTGCAAAATACACAGCCTATGTTTGGGCCAGTATTTGCATAGTGCAGGGGAAATAACTGGCTGAAGAGGAGGCTGCAGCTTTTGGTACAGTATTTAGTCTTTAAAAAGCACTTAAAGGAATGAGAAACATTTTGATGGAAAAATGTAAAGAATTTGGAGCCTTACTGCTTGTGAGTGTGTTAAGGACCTTTGCTAAAACATCTGTCCTTTGAGGGTGCTCTTTCTTCTGAAAAGGGCAACTGCCTCACTTCTGCTGATTGCACTTACAAAGGGCAAAGTGAGGTTTTGCTGTACCCTTAATGGACAGAGGCTAGTGGCAAATCTTCCTCTTTCATAAATCTCAGCATTCCTCGTGGTGTCTGCTGTCAGGATCGATTAGGAGTAAGTGCTTGGACTGCAGAGCTGTGGAAGGGCGGCCTGTCTCCTGCAGTGCCATGCAGAGCTGGGCAGAAAGTCCTCCAGCGCCGGTGGTGGGGTTTGTGTGTCCCCGGGCACCTGGGGAGACAGGCCCTGGTCCCTGCACTGGGGGACAGCACAGTCAGCGGCTCCTCCTTGTAAAGCCAGCAAGCAGCCAAGCTGGGAAGCATGAGCGATGGCTGTTAGGGGCCAGAGCTGAGTCATCTATAATATAATCATAAGGAAACACACATTTTTCCTGAGAGAAAATCAATAGAACTTTGCACTTTTCCTTGTAATATTTCCAGTCTGTGCCATCAGCCATAGTTTGCTCACAGTTATACTGCTGTAAATTCACTGCGAGTTAATGGATTTCTACAAAAATGAATTGACTTACAACAGTGTAAGAGATCTGATGCCAGAGCCATGCACATGTAAAAATACATGGAACAAAAGTAGTTTTATAGCACACAGGTGACCTTCAAAGTGCCAAGACCTAGCAAGTAAAAAGCAAAATTACCTAGTTCCTCGTATGCTCCTTTTCTGGCAAAACTCCTGAGGAAAATAAAGCATGCAGTCCTGAAACCATCGCTGCGCGTGGCAAGGGGGCCAGAGACCCACCGAAGGGAAGACAGGCGAGCGAGCAGCTTCACGCTATGATGGAGAATGCAGAAGACTGTCTGAACATGTCATTTTTCATTTCCTGCATAAAACATTTTGGAGCCTCGTCTCACTTAGAATTAGTAAGTAAGTAAATAACGTGCTCCCAAACTTGTGTGTCAAAATTAGGTTGGTTAATGTATGAGCTGCCTCTGTTGCATTTGTTACTACACAGGAAATTTCATGCTTAGCCAGAGGCTGGCAAAGTTCATTTATTCATTATCCCCAAACTTCGGGCAGTTATTATTCAAACTCCCCTAGTACATCTATTTAATAAGAAGAGAACAGAAAATTGATGGGATCAAAAATGTTAAAGTCGTAATTAATGCTTTTAGCAAAGACTGATTGGAGGGGGTTGTTTTGAGAATATTAATTTGTAGCGAGCGAGTGTGCTGCCTGGTGTTGCTGGGAGCAGGGAGAGCTCTCCCAGCCCTGCCAAGGGAGCTCGGCCCCTGCAGCCTGGTGAGCTGCTGGCCCGTGGGGACACCACCTGTGTCACCCCAGGGGCTCTCTGCCACCAGGTAAGGGAAAACCAGTGCTACAAGCCATGGGAGAGTGCTAAAATACCAACACACATAAATTATTGCTGATTAATAGAGTGTTTAGATGGTAAAACATTTGCTTCCAGCATAGAAAATATGCGGGATTTTTTTCTTCTTCACTGTTTTTGTGCTCTTGTGTTGTTTTGTCCCCCAGCAGCCTTGTAGTACTGCAGATCACTGAGCTGCGATGCAGGGGGCTGCCGGGCGGTTGAGGGCTTTGCTCTCTGGCGAGATGCCCTGATGCAGAGCCCAGGACTCTGTGCATGTGTGGGACAGGTTTGGGTTTTGTTCACACAGGAGCAGTTACAGTTATTCCATAGGAAAATTAACTGGCCCTAAAACAAAGGAAACGAGATGAAGGCTGGAAGAATCCCAGCAAGGCAGGAGGGCAGCCATGAGGGATCTGCATCACCGGGCTGCCGGGCGGTTGAGGGCTTTGCTCTCTGGCGAGATGCCCTGATGCAGAGCCCAGGACTCTGTGCATGTGTGGGACAGGTTTGGGTTTTGTTCACACAGGAGCAGTTACAGTTATTCCATAGGAAAATTAACTGGCCCTAAAACAAAGGAAACGAGATGAAGGCTGGAAGAATCCCAGCAAGGCAGGAGGGCAGCCATGAGGGATTTCTGCATCACCCTGTCCTGCCCCAAAGCAGCAGCAGCGCCGGTTCCCTGGGCATGGCCATGTGGTTTGACAGGGGATGGGGAAGAGGAAGGGAGGGGGGGTTCTGTTGCTGTTTTTAGACCATGTTTCTAAAACCCAGCAGTCTCTGCTGAGTAAAAGACGGATATTATTATAAATGGAGCAAGCCGGGGAAAATACATGGTGCAGATCTGCATCAATGACAATCCAAAATACAGCACTGAACAAGATGGGTTTTTTTAAGGATCCGTGCTAATGTCAATGAATGGATTGATAGCTCCTGTTTTTCCTCTGGTGACTGCCAGCCTTTTAATTATAGCAATTACGGACATTCCAAGCAAATCACAGCTACATTAAGAGTCGAATCGAAGAGGGCTGTGCTGTAGAATTAGTTAATGGATTTCCCTATTTGTTGTCAATAGATTTGGTTTCCTGTTGTTGTTAAAATGTTTCTTAAATGTCATACGGAAAATCATCTGTAGTTTAATACAAATTAAATGACCAAGGTCTTGATAAATAACTCAAAAATGCTTACAGTTCAATTGAGGATTATAATTTTCCAATAGGACATTTTTGGAATTTACTCTGGGGAAGATGGGAAAGGGAATGTCAAGCTATTTTTTTTCTATTCCGTGACCAGATCTGTCAAAAACTTTAATTCATCTCTGTGTTAATACCCTTGAAATAGGAAGCCACAGGTAAGACTTTGGGAGCGTTATGCAGGGTAAAAAAAGAGATGACCACATAAAATGGGCTCTTATTTTTGGATTTTCTTGTCATTTTCCTTGAAAATCTGAAGTCATCGGTTTTTTAACAAACTAGAACAGGAATTCTTCATTACTAAATATTTTCCAGGCTTGTAAGTTGCTCTGACAATCCAGTGAGTATCATGACTCATTTTGGGTTTCGGGGTGTTTCATTTCATTTCTAGGCAGGTGTTGATATTTAGGCTGTCAGCTGAAGTCAGCTGTTGTGGCAAAAATTAGAGGGATACTTCTGATTTTCAAGTGCTGTGTTTTTTATAATAGTTTTTAATTTCATTTTTTTTAACAGAGTGCTTCTGTATTCATAGTCTATGGTAAACATGAGATCTAGCTCTAAATTCCCATGGCAGAACATCTTTTTAATGTATATGCTGTAATTTATTTACTTACTGTTCTGGACAGTTGTATTTCAGTGCTTCCAGAGTTGTCAGAGTTGATCCAAGTGACTGATACCTGTCAGTATGTCATTAATCAACTGTCTTTGCAGTTTTAAAAGTGTGTCATCAGTCCCACAGGGAGAGCTTCTGCGCTGTTAGGATGGGTATGAGGAAGGTCAGTGTCAGGACTTTGACACCCCCCCTTGGTTTGCCTCATCCTTCCCTCTCAAGAAGAGCAACGTGGTGGGTTGCTGTGGCCTAGATAGGAGCAGCTTGGCCAAATGTTAGCGAAGGGTCTGGTAACTAAATTACCCCTTGGGACGTGTGCCCTCTCATGGCATCGGGCAGCCCTGGGCCAGGAGATAGTCTGTGCTCCGAGACATAACGCTCAGAGAATCAGTCCTCTGGGGCCTCTGGAGCATCACCAACATGGTGAGGACTCTTTATTTTTCCTTCTCTGCTTTCTGGGATCCCCTCAAAAGCACTGAAAGCAGGACGGCAGGGGCTATATTGCCAGGCTCCCAGAGCCGTGGCCAGTGCAGCTCAGGAAACCTCTTGCCCAGCATCCCAGTGCACGGCTCAGCCTGTGTGCTCTGCTCCGGCAGGACAGCCACCACCTCTCCCCCAGCTTGAAGCCAGCAAGGACAGCGGGAGCACAAGGGAAGGCCACCCGTTGGTTCCTGAAGGGACCCTCAAGTGCCTCAGGATTTAAAAGCCTGGTTTACCTAGTTAAACTAATCCTGTGTCTCCGACAGGAACTAGGGTGTTGTTAAAACACCCCACATCATTGTTATACTGAACATACATTGCTCTGAGCTCTGGAAAGCTGGAAGGACCTAGTCAGTGTGCCTTGCTGCGACTAAGCCAAGCAGTGCGTGAGCTTGGGAGCTGTGCTTGCTCGGGAACATTGATAAATCTTTGGACAAGGACATGGTGTGCACATCTAAATCTGAGTCAGGCCAAGGAATTACTGTACTGAGTGATGACCTAGACCGAACCATGTCTGTCAGTGATACCTGTTACCCTGAGGGGAATGCAGCACTCGAGAAACTGCACAAGAGAAGCTAAAGGCAACAAAATCAAATGAGACGATGAAAATGTACAATTTGATTAAGGAAGCATCAGCTACTTTATGATCTTTACCAAACACACTCATGTTTGTGATTCATTTATGCTAATTCACTGCAAGACAGTAAAAATACAGTCATTCAGTGCCACAAATAATGATAATAGTGTAATCCGTTTGTAGAGTGCTTGGATATAATTTCAACTTTTATAGTATAGTGGTATGAAGGTCTCAAGTTAGTTAAATGCACAGCAAGGTGCTAATTGCAATCCTGGTTAAAATGAACCTCAGTTTATGGTTAAGTCGCTGGTTGAGCTAATGACTTTGTATCTGAGCTAGCTGAGTCCCACTGAAGTCAGCAGCCAGACTCCTTATATAGTGAAATCTTTTAATAATTCATACCACTGGCATTTCAGTCTCCAGAGAAGTAAGCCGGGTTTGACAAGACAGGAGAACCAAAACTGAGTACATACCGGTGCATTGATCCTGTTGCGGGTTTGCTGATGTGGCCACCTTGCAGTTTTTCAGCATGTAGGGAGAGACAGAAGAAAGGCTCGCCTCGCTGCCGCCAGAACTGGGGGAGCTCAAACCCAAGCAAATAGTAGTTAGCGACACACAGCAGGCACCTGTCAAAACCTGAACTGTAACACGATTTAATATCAAGACCGAGTAAGTGGAACTAAATCCAGCTTGCCACAGTGTCACATGCGAGAAGTTGAACTTTTTGCAATATTTTTCAAGAACATAAAATCTCTTTATTAATGCAAGAGTTAATTATTTTGAGACCAGAGAGGTCTTACGCTACTTTTATGCTAGACTAAAGCATTTCACTAAAGCAAACCATCTCAAAAGCAAATGCGTGGAGCTTTGCAGGGTTCAGAAAGTATTTGTCAACCTGGTCGTAAATGCGCATGGAAAAGTCAACCAAGTTTAGGCTCATTACCCAGGGTAATTCAAACCTTGCCACTGCAGGTTTTTGGAGCAGAGCAGCACCTGCTCATGTTCAGTGCCATGAAAACGCCATGTGTTCATGCAGTGCGTTTCCCCTCATTGAGTGCTCATGTGTTGCTGCTGGCATTTACAGGGCTTGGGCAAAACATCCGTCCAGTTTGTTGTTTATAGCTGGGAGTGTGATTGCAAAATGGTGAGGGAGGAGGGGAGGCGGTGTGGGAAGCCACAGGGGCCATTTACCTGAGGACACTGTAAAACTCGCCTGCTGTCTCGGGGAATAGGAGACAGCCACGCTGCGCAGTCTGCACAGGGAACATGGTCAGTCAGTTCTGTGGTCATGCTGAAGCCATTTATTTTTATTTGAGCAACACTTAACGTTCCCAAAACAGCCGGATGGAGCTCAAGGAGACAGGTGAATAAGCAGGAGCAGCACGATTTGCCACGGCTCAAAGTTCCACTCGGCTCTAAAACAAGCTTTTCTCATTGGAGGAAAAGGGTGTGTGGTTTTTTCTTCATACACTGGACCAAGTAGCAAAATAAGGTGTTTTCCCAAATAAACTCACTGATAATGATTTTCGTCATGCATCCCTAGCTAATTGGGGTGCGATGAAGTGCATAATTCAAATGCTATCTAGCCTGAGGGCTTAAGGAAAAGCTTAACTCTGCCTGCAAACCAGAGTGGAGATAGCTGATGCGACAACTGCCTATCAGTAGGCTGCAGGCTTTCAAACGAGCAGGCGACATAGGCGCGCTATCTGATTGCAGCTTAAATTCTGCCCACAGTCGTGCCTGCTTGGTTCAGCGTAGTTACTCGATGGCCAATAAGGCATTAAATAGTCACAATGTACAGCTTATTTCGGGAGAAAGTATTTTAACAGCACAGGTGACTATTGTGCGTGCATTAAGAAAACCAGGACACAGCGAACCAAATTTAGTTTAGCTACAGTAAAATAATTGTAATAGAGCAATGCTGACCCCAACTACTGAATGGTGACACCTGGCTTTTGCTGCACAGGAGAGATTAGGGTTTTCTGGTTTGTTCTCCTCCCTCTCTTTTTAGATATATATTTCATTTATATAGCATATATTTAGTATTCAGATGTTTGAGACAAAACCCCAACATTTTAGAGAGAAGTAAGTGCCCTTCAAGCCCAGCAGCGCAAACCACGGTCTCATGGAAACAGCAATTGCAAACAGAAAATAACCCCTGCTGTGCGACACCTCCACTTTGTTACATTGCAATGTATTTTCTTATTTTTCATGGGCCTGGTTCATGTGACCCTGCCAGTACGTAAAAATGGTTGTTGACAGTTTCTTTGGTTTTGTTTTATTATAATGTAATTTATGGGATGCTGAAAGTCTGCACGTTACTTGTACTTGACTGACATTTCTCTGAGAGTCAAAAAATTGCTACGTATTCTTGACTGAGATTAAAATGGGTGGACTGTGTATAGCTGTATCCTGCTTTCAAAGTGCAGGATTGGAAGGCTTCCATTAAATTGTTATTTCCAGTTATTATTAGCTCCTAAATCAGTTAATATAATTTCTTTCCCATAATGAATGCACAGCATTGTAAGCCTAAATGCCATATTTTCTATTGATCTATTTCCACAACCTGTTTAGTGAAATAATTAAAATAATTTACAAGGCTGACCCAATATCTTAATGGTTTAGTAAATCTTGCTGCCGCCTGGGAGGCTCAGCTAGTTTTAAACTCACAGCTCTTGGCAGCACCAGGACCTCGGGGTGGACCTGCAGTGAGTGCCATGTGGTGTCTGAAGGTGTGCTCAAAGCCAGCCTGTGGAAACGCCTCCTCTGACGCTCGGGGAGAACAGGGGCTCCAGCTGGTTTGTTCACTCATCGCCTCTGTTCAAAGTAGGAAAATTTCTTGGTGTTACCAGGCCAGAGCAGAATTTGAACTGCAATCTGCAGGTAATACATCTTCACTGGCAACTTGAACATCCCTGTTTTCTACCCCCAGAATTGACCCCACGTGTCTGTGTGGGCAGCGAAAATGGGGGCAACTGTGGAGCTTGGTATTTTTACATGCAAGACAATGTGGGAAATTATTATTTCCATCTTTTTTGGTTGTTTTAACTCGTAAGAAGAGGACAACTCTAAACACGATCTCTGTTTAAATGCCAGGGTTATGGAAGGGCTCAGTAGGATTCAGTAGTGTCAAGACAGAGGTACACTAAGGCGTGCCCCAAAGTCTCTTAAAATCTCTGGAAGGCCCTTTGGTAATCTCAGAGGGCCATAGGTGACTCCTCAGGCGATAGGGAGGGCTTCATTAAGACAATCTCCCTGGCACAGGAGCCCCTCCCGTAGTGATACGGGCTCTCCTGACTCCTCCACGTCTCCCACAGCTCTTACAGGCAAACACACAGGGCTGATACAGGTAGGACTTACAAAATATTCCCAGGTCGGTTTCTAGCTCGCCGCCTGGTGTTACAGTAACACTAATGGGGAGCCCTCGGAGCAGGGGCAGGAGGACACTGCAGCAGTGCCTGGGAGGAGACGTAGAAGCCAGTCTCTTTAGCAAGAGTGGCAAGAGCAAACTACATTTAAAGTACTATTATGAAAAGCTGGTGGCAACCCTTGTTCCCATGAAGAATGTGCATTTTGACAGCTGCAGTCTGGAACAAAAGGGATTGAGGTGACTTGTGTGGGATCGGGGCAATGGCTGCAAAGCAACGAGTGTGCAGCCAGGGCCAGCCCTCGTGGGGATCGCACCCCTGCGGGGTCCTGCCCTGGCCAGCTGCGCAGGGAGGACATCCCCTGGGGACACATGTGCGGGCAGGAAGGTCACAGACCTCCATCCTGGGCCGTGACAGCAAGGACAGAGCCCGTAGCTCTGAAATCAGTCAGCGTTTGAGACACCATTTAAAATGTCTCCACCTGCAATCCCTGAGCAAGCCTCGAGCTTGCTTTCAGCATCTAGTACATTTATTTTTAGTTCTATTCTTTTGCATAATTATACAAAGAAAAGAAAAATGGCCTGTTAAAAATTAGAAGATGGTTGTTGGATGCACTTTGCAGCAGATGTCATTATCTTCCCTCCCTGACCCTAACCAGCCACCATTTCTATTTTGCTTTAAATGGACCTGTAATTTCACACTGTGAATTCAGCTGGAACTATTCTTTTTGTTAAATAAACTTTACCCTTGCACTGACTGCTCCAGGCTCTGAAAAGAAACACTTCTTGCTTGTGACTGTTCCAAAATGTAGGTCTGAAATTCAAAAAGAAGTGTTGGTAAATGGGCTGTAATCACACTGAAGGGCAAGCGAGTATTCCTCCTCTAAGGCAGAAGAAAATAAAGGAAAATCTGCTTTGCCTTCTGCTGCCTCAATGCTGATTATTTTACAGATTAGAGGATTTTTTTAGAAAGAAGCCTGCTGTGCTATAGTGTGTGTTTCAGAGCTGAAACACCTGTAGTCATGCCCTTAATGCCACACTTGTGTAAATCAGGGCCTCATTTCTGCAACCACTGTGCACCCAGCAGAACCTCGTGCTGGCGGTGGTGCAGGGCCTGTGCAGTGGCACACACCACCAGCAAGCCCCGGCAACTCCGGATTCACCACAGGGAAGAGTGTGCAACGTTAACGGCGTATCTAGCCTCTAATGTGTGCATGAGAGCTATAGGGATGTTATGTGAGAGCTTGATGGCTGCGACAAATATGATTGAAACTGGACACAAGGGTCAAAAATTACCTCAGAGAGGGACCGTAGCACAAAACACACCCCGCCTCTGCGCACAGCGGGGTCACCGTCCCCTCACTGCCTTCCGCATCGGGTGAACATCTGCCCCGCTTCGATGTCAGAATTAGTTTTCTTCCAGAACAGGACATCCACAAACCAGAAGGAGCTGGGCAGCTCTGTCAGTGGTCAGTGCCACATCGCTAAAGCTGACGCGGTCCCGAGCAGAGACTTACTCGTTGCCCCGAGCCCAGACAGCACGTGCAGTTCTGGCAGTGATTACCAGTGCACTTTTACATACAACTCAGTCCTTTCCTGCACCCCCTCTGTGCACCGACCAAAGCATCTTTGAGCTTACCGTAGTCTCGAATAACCACTGTTCTTCCTGTAGGTGTGATCCACCACTGCAGCACTCCTGATGTCACACTCACGTAACTCTCGGAAATCGTTTCAAACCACACCAACACAGAGTGACTCAAGCTCAAGCTATTTGCTAACTAGGGCTCTGTATTTACTGGGCTGTGGCAAAGCAAAGGTTCCCCCGGCAGCCGTCTGCAAATGTGGTTCGGGTCAGTTGTAAGTCTGTGATTAGTTAATTCTGTTTAGAGGATCTGCTTAAATTAAACATTTTCTCTCTCCCATTCTCACTCACTGTTCTGTTTTTAAGAAGTATAAGGTGCTTAATAATCTCTACCACCTGAAATCGTCACTGGCAGGATGAAAGCTCTCTCCCTCCCACCCCCACCATTTTGTCCCACTGCAAAACGTATACATTAATCTCATGCTAAAATTAACATATATTGCTGAGGCAAATGAATTGGCATCTCCATGTATATCTATTAGCTTCCAGCGTTTCCTGAGAGGGGCTTTCATTTAATTACCAGCCTGACAGGCTACCTCACTCCAGAACTGCAGCTGTATTTATTACTTTTATCTCCTTGGACACCTGCCTCTCTCCGTGGTTTATCAGATTTCTACTGAAGAGATGGACGGAATATTTTCTATTGCACCAGGTTATTGTTTCTTTAAAAGGCGCTTACTAGAGCACTGACCTCAAACAGAAGGTTTTTTTGGTTGGCTTTGGATGGGCTTCCCCCCCCCAGTTATCAAAGCAATCCAGCAGCATTAACCCCCTCACTGCCCCACCACACACCTGCAGTTCAGAAGAAATCAGATTACGGACAAGGAGCTGAGCGCCTCACTGCTAGCTCTGTGCAAGCAGCTGACCCTGACCACCGCTCACAAAGACCTTGCCTGCAGTGGGAGCCAAAACCCTCAGGTGCTGTGACTACTTTTCATCCTCCCATGTATGAAAACTTCAAGTGGAAATGCCGAGAGACTCCTGAGCGCGTGGCTCAGTGCCCTCCATTGCAGTCCAGTGAGAGGGATCTGCCCGAATTCCTCCTGATGCTTTGGGCAACACTTTATATTGTCACCAGTGCCTCTATAACTGGTTGATAAAAAGCTAATGTAGATACACGGAACATTAAAAGAAGATAAAAGCTGCCTACATGCATTGCCAGCACAGTCACAGCCAGTGTTACAGGTTATACGTAACCTGTGTGACTACGCACCACTCCATTACAGCTGGGTAAAGCAGCTGTTCTCTCTTATTGCCCCAGGCAGCAGCTCAGGACACTGCTAGTTCAGGTGTTGACTGTGGCAAAAGGGACATCACGGGGCTCGTTCAGCAGACGAGCTGCTTCAACAGGCTGAAGTTTCAACAGACAAATAGTTCCCACTTGTTGTTCTCTGGGTCGCACCACCTGAATTCGTGGAGATGCACGTCCCATGGGCAGGACTCGCCTGAGCTGGCGTGTTGTGACAGACACGTTCAAACCAGTGGGACCTGAAGCTAGCTGGTGCCTCGGCAGGTGGGGCCTTCATGCGTGCGCAATGCAGCAATACATCTCCTGGACAAGGCGAGCGCAAGCTGACTCATTTTATTAAAAAGAATGGTTCGCTCCCGGCAGTCTAATTGTGTTACTTCGAAAGAGTCTGGCAGGAAGGGGGCCTTGCTGATAGCAATGCCTTTGAGAAAGATGCCTCATTACTGACGAAAAATGACAAATTTGTATCTGTTTAATTAATGAACCTTTTCAACTTTCTTGGGATTTCATCCCAGTTCCTAACTCCAGGCATGCTGGCTGTTTGGCGTGAAGCACCTGCTGACTGTGAGCTGTGCAGGAGGCGGCTGCGCTGCAGACACTCCCCTGCACGGCTGGGGCCTCCTGCTCCTTCGTGGGTCGGGGCAGCAGGAGCAGCCCCGTGGTCCCAGCGAGAGCCCCCTGAGCGGGAGGGTGCCCTCTCCCCAGACGCTGACCCAAGCAGTTAGCGCTTAAGCACTTTCTGGGAAACGCAGCAAAAGATGCTTCGGTGAAACATAAATTATTTTAACATAAGCCTTGTGCGAAAAGTGCCTCTTCCTTCCTGTCGCCTTCGTCCCAGTAAAAAGTGCTTTGTCCCACTCCAGAGCCCCGAGGCGGAGTTAGTTACGCACAGCATATGTAGAACTCTTGTTCAGGAGCTCGCTGCGTGTGGTCCTTGAGCGTGTGGGTGGTCTGGCAGTGCCAGGAGGTTTGGAGGTGACCAGAGGAAGCACCCTGGCTGACAGGGATGCACAAATACCGCAGCAGCCACAGCACCGCAGCGCGCAGCGCTTCGTGGTACCATCCTTCCATGGCGCTCTATCACAAACAGTAACAGGCAGCACGCGGTAACATACTTTTGACCAAAACTTACTTACCATGGGTAAAGTGCCAAGTCAAGACAACCAAACCATGTCACACAGGCTCGCAGAATTTGATAACCCCTTTGTAGGAAGAAGTCTAAACATTTTTTGATGAAAAGCCAACACAATTGATTTTTGAGCCCAAAACCTTTTTATTTGTATTCTTTTTAAATGTTAATGAATTATGTTAATTTAATGTAGTTTAACCAAAACTAAATGAAATACGTTAAATTGTTCAATCGGCCGTAACTCCGATGACTATTATTATTTTATAATTTATCCTTTTTAATACTCATGTTGCATCATACATCCCTATCACATATGACCCAATGTTAATTATGGTTTAAAATAAATCATTCAACGAGATCTAAACGAGACTCACAGAACAGCAAAAGTAGTGACTGTAAGACAGTCATGGAATCATACGTGAATGCAGAAGGCGGGTATAAATTAGTACGTACAAGCTGTTCAGGAGCAGCAGTGGTGTCTGTTATCCTGGTGTGTGTTTGGATCATACGTGATCTCAGCACGCAGGGAAACCAAACGTCAGCTGCCAAAGCCTCAGCTTACTGACTCCTCGTTACTGTTTTGGGGAGCAAGTGTTGTTTTTTTAGCGTTGCTCTGCGAGGCAAGGCTGGGTAGTTCTAGCGCGCAGTAGTTACCTCCAGGTATTCTAGGGTCGCTCATATTTTTTCTATTTTAAGAAGGCTATAGCTTCTTATTTTGATATAAGAATATATTGGTGTTTAAGAAAGTGGCCTCCTTAACATGTGGTGAAATTGAACGCCTTCAAAATCCTCTTTCCACAGATAATTTTACTGTGATGCAGAAGAGCCCGGTCTCGGGCTGCCCTCTAGTGACATGGCCTGGGCTCCTGCAACCAGCCTTCCAAAAAAGCCTGCTTGTTTCTTTGTTCTCATTTTAAAACCTGGCTTTTAAATCATTGACATTTTCTGAAAACATTTTAGGATTATTATTTGCCTTCTGATTTCTGTGCCACTAAGATATATTTGGATTATGTTTCCAAGCGCTTTCTTGTTTTCTTCACACGCGGAAAAGCCAGTCTTTTTTATTCACCTTGAAGTGGTATCTGCAATTTCAGATGACAAGGAGCCAGGACCGTAAAGAAATAATGAACCTTCAGCTGGAAAGAATAGTTTATCAGCCGGGGGGTGGGGAGCACATCTCATCCTAATCCATGAGTTAAAGATGAGCGGATAAAGCAGAAAAACTTACGGAAAAATATATGGAAAAGAAACATTTGTGGGATACAGGGTACATCAAAAGATGACACTCATTAACCAGCTACAGCTGTCTAAAATTGGTCAGCCAAGCCCGTAATAAAAGAGTTTGGGCTTCCACACACAAAACTTCTTACTCACAAACTTTCCTCTAGCAAACCTACACTGACATGAAATGAAAATTCAGACTACTAATATCAACTACCCTGTCTATCCACCTGGCTGAACGGCAGTTCTCACCCTTCTTGCCCCACCGCCGCCCCCCAGACACGACCCTTTCCTAGACCAGTTTTTCCAGGGAACCATGAGTACCAAATACCTGGACACGTACCGCACATGGCACAGCAGCACCGCCCTGACACTGCACGGCCAGAGCTAGGAGGATGCCGGGTATGCAGCGGACGGTCAGCCAAGGGTAAAAGTGCTGGCAGGGAGCGGCCCTGCACTCCCCACCGGGCCAAAAGGAGATGTCGGCAGGAGGAGGAAAAGGCAGCTGCAGAGGGGCGGCGAGACGCAGGCAGGAGGTGGCGGGACAGCCGCGGGACGCGCATGGGCTGGCTGCATGCTGCTTCAGCACAGCTGTGGGAAAGGGGGTGGAAATTGCATGAGCAGCTTGATATTTAGATAGAGGAAATCAGATCAGAGGGTTTTAAATGGAAATTATTTTCACCAGTACAGACGTCCCTAGGGAGCTACTAATACAATTTGGCCAAGAGGAATAAACTATATTGATCTTGAGATCTCAAATGCTTGCTGAGACAGTCCCTCTAGAGAATTATGGTATTTATTTCTTGTATCAGTGACAATCAGCAAAAGTATAACAGCGATTATAGCCCAGTCACTTTTTACACACATCAGTTAACGTTACGTACTTCTGCTCATCTCTCCAGTTCATAATTACTCTTTTTTAAAATAACGCTGATCTTCTATTCTTGTGTCACACAAATATCTTTAATTACTGTCTTTGGTCACTCTGCATCTCAAGTTTTAGCTTTCTGTGACTGTCAGTATAAAGCTTTTCTATAATCGCTCGCACATTCACTCAACTTTCCCCAGGACGCTGCTGTTACTTAGCCTGGCCTGCACACGGTTTTTTCCCCATCACTGTAATTCAACAGTACCTACAGGTACAGCAATATGGCCCCCTAGTGCACGCGGTTAGATTGCCTCAATGTTGGTTTTTTGCATAGGGTTTATTATTATTATTATTATTATTATTATAGAGCAATAAATAAAGCCATACATAGATTTAATAGAATAAGAAATGCCAATGTTGGCACCTATAACTTGGTATTAATAACATATATTGGGGATTTCTATCACTATAAACCTATTCCGAGGTGATTTACTTGAAGTAAAAAGCTTCAAAAGTCTAAGGCACTAAGACAGGTGGAGCAGGTGATGCTGCACATTTGGAAACATGCATTATAATTACTTTGTTTGCATATTTCCACTTCATTTTCTATTCATATTTTACCCACCTTTCCTCATTTCTCTGAGCCTTCCCTTTCTTATCTACAAACTGCCTTCACATATTCTCTGGTTTCTCAGGTTCTTTGCCTATTCTTTTTCATGTTTATTTGATGAGAGTCTTGGCTCCGGACGCAGAGCCTTCTTGCTGGGACACATACTAACACGCTGATCTCGCTCTCTCAGACATTATATCTGAAGATAAATTGGGAAATGAAGATGTAGAGCTGTTGGAAGAGACTGGCTTCCCCAGGCACCAGTTTAGCCTGGATCATTGGATTTACAACACCAGCACCGCCAACACTGATTTGACTATTAATCCCTGAAGTGCCCTAGGAATTGCAGCATAAATCCAGTGAAGGAGCACTCATATGGCCCTAAAGACCTATAGCGCTTATCCTGGTACTCCATTCATGAAAATTGATCTTTTCTTAGTAGCAATGACAACTCAAGGAGTCCATGCTTTGTAAAACCAAGAGATCTGCTTGCTGTGGCAATGTACTTAACTGCCAGGAGGTCTGTGATACAATCTGGCACTCACGCTTAATACTCTGCAGAGACCAGCCCTTTTTTCTTTACAGACATACAGAGATCTGCAATTTCATTCCCTGTTAGGGACCACTTTAGTGCCTTTGTGCTCCACAGCAGCACTCAACAGAATCATTGTGTTTCCTATACCCTGTCTCAGTAACTTGCTCCTAAGTATCCTTTACCAAGCAGTGCTTAATTATCTGCTAAGCCAATACCCACCCCCACCCACCCCCCACCCCCCGTGACAAGACTATAAACCTCTTCTGTATTTGGAGAACTATCATGTCTGAGCAGAGGGCAGCATGAGTTGGGACTAGGCTGGCAAGGAAAATGAATGGGCTACTCTGGTTTCAAAGTACCTCCGTGTTGTACAGCGAGCAAGACGCTGTCCTATCCCAGGAGAACAGGCTGCGACATATCAGAGGTGGTAAACCCCACAGCGAGCAGCATCTTCCTGATTTTTGACCTTGATTTCTAGAAACATGGGGACAGATTTTAAACAAAGATCTCTGTTTGCCTGCACAGACACAGTACAATAGCATTTGACACACTGTTAGCTACTGGGAACAGCTGAACGGGAGCGTGCAAGAGCCAGGTACCTGCAATGGCTGGAGAGGCCTTGAAGGACAGGCCGGGACTAGGAAAGAAACTCTCTCTCCTACCAAGAGAAGTGGGATGGGAAGAACCTTGGTGGGGGGCAGAGAGGGCCTGCGCCTGCCCACGGCCCGGGGAGCTCGGGCAGCAGCTGGCTCCAGCACTGCATTTGTAAATCCTGGGCAGGGGAGATCTTCAGAACAAACGAGGCAACAAAAGGTGGAAGGGGAGGGGGCTGCAGGATGGAAAGTGGAAATGGATGTCCCAGCATTCCTGGTGGGAGCAATTGCAGGATGAAGGAGAAGCGGTGAGGGTTGATGTGTCCAGGCTGCCCGTCACAACGAGTGTCCAGACTCTAAAGCAATGCTGTTACTATGGGAAGGACACTAACAAATCAATACTCGAACAACTGACTTACCTACGCCAAGTGTACATGATCATACTGAAGTGGTGGATGACTAGAGAAAATGAGGTGGCCTGCGTTACAGAAGGTATGATTGACAAGACTTTTTTTTAAAAGAAATTGCCCCATGATAGTAACTGAAATACCTGGTGCTCAACTTACTCTCCCAAGTCAGAGGATTTCTTAGTATAAAACAGAGATAAATAATAGCCAGATTTCATTTTGTAAGACTGTTTCTTTAACTCTGGCTAGAAATGTTAGTTCTGCATTCTGATCTCTCCTGAAATAAACCTGTGACTTGCGTAATAATAGTAACGTGACTGTTCAGACACCTAACAGAAGTTAAAGCTATTAAATGGTCCCTGTCTGGCTTAATCTGAGTGGCTAATCTAACAATCTACCCTGGCCACAGCTTCCCCCTTTGTAGAACCTCATGGTTGCGATAAGCAACGTCACTTTCCTGTTCTACATTCTTTTCTTTGGATTTTGACCTTAGCGATGGCTTTCCTCTAAAGCAGAGCCTAGCACGGTTTGTGATTTATGAGCGACGCTGAGCTCTTTGGGACCCTCGAGTGTGCAGACCCCAGTGCCAGCCATGTTAGGCAATAACCCAGGAACGCTGGTATATGCAGGGAGGCTCCTCTTCCCGGGACACAGAGGGGTCTTGGTTACCTCTAGCACTGCAGCCTCTGAAACCTGGGGTTCAGGCTGGGATTTACTACCCTAACTAGCAGCGGGGGAGATGGTAACAAGGTGGTGTTTCTTTCGATATGCTGAGTAGTACAAACTCTCTACAAAAGCTTCTTAGCAAGCAAAATCCAACAATTTCCCCCCCTTTTTTTGGCTCCCGTTTGCTGAAAAGGTTTTGACGCCCCTTCCCCTCCGTCCCTTATGACTTTGCTGTGCAGACGTCAGGCGAGGCCAGAGGGAGAGGGCTGGGTCCCCCCCCCCCCCGCCCCGCGCCCGCCCCCCC